TGTTTACAAAAACGGGGACAAGAAGAGAATCTATCTCATGGAGCTGTTATAAGTTATAAAGGAGACGTTGCACCAAAACCCCTTAGCATGTGCTCTTCACCGCACAGTCTAGGGAAATCTTTGTGTCTCAGTTTCCTCTTTTGCGTAATGGGGATAATGCTTAATACTTTCCTTTTGGAGCTGTTGTGAGGATTTCAATGTGAGGAACGTGAAAACATTTTGTGATTCTAGGTGCTTAGCTTCTCAGCTGAATTATGCTGCTTAAATTGGACCCCCTAGCCTCCCCCATCTCTGTCCCATCCAATCCCCCACACCGCCACCCCCAACAGTGCATTTCTGTTTCCTCCTTTTTAAAAAAAAAATTATTTATTTTGGCTGCATTGGGTCTTCGTTGCTGCGCGCGGGCTTTCTCTAGTTGCGGCGAGTGGGGGCTACTCTTCGTTGGGGTGCGCAGGCTTCTCACTGCGGTGGCTTCTCTTGTGGCTGAACACCGGCTCTAGGTGTGCGGGCTCAGTAGTTGTGGTGCATGGGCTTAGTTGCTCCGCGGCATGTGGGATCTTCCCGGACCAGGGCTGAAACCTGTGTCCCCTGCATTAGCAGGCGGATTCTTAACCACTGCGCCACCAGGGAAGTCCCATTTCTTCTTAACTAACTCCAAACACTGGCTAGCTCTGCTGGGGCTTAGGTTATGTGGTACCTGGTATTTCAGAATAAAGGGACTGGGCCTTGAAACCTATCCCTTACTAGTTGTGCAACCTTGGATAAGTCATGTCAGCTCTCTGGGCCTCAGTTTCTTTCTCTGTAAAATGGAGGTGATAATACTGTGTAGGGCTGTTGAGGAAATTACATGTGATAGTGCATGTGAAATACACAGCACGCTGCCTGGCCCGCAGTAGGTACTCGAAATATTAACCATCATTATTATTACCACCAATGCCCAACCTCAGCCTGGCACTGAGGAGGTAAAGAGGAGGACGTGAACTTTGCATGAAACCCTCCTGCTCAGATAGGGAATGTTAGGGAGAGCAGATAAAGAATTAACATTGAGTTCCTACTGGAGGTTGGTCATGCCTATAATCTTGCTCAGAATCATGCACGTAATCTTATTTTGTCCTCACAGTAACTCTTACGAGAATGGAATTATGAACTCCATTTTACAGATGGGGAAACTGAGGCCCAAGAAGGGCAGTTGGCTACCTAAGGTCACACTGAAAACTGGTCAGAAATGGGGAGGGGAATTTGAAGAGATGTTGGGCTGATTCCAGAGCTTTCCTGTCTGGCTGTGAAGCTGTCTCCAGAGGTGAGGCTGGGTGGGGCTGGGCCCCTGAGTGATTCAGGTAAGAGTCATCTCCAGATTTCCAAATAGTGGGTGGGACACAGCAGGGGTGAGAGTGTTCCAGGAGCTTTAAAATCCAACTCCCGTGTAGAGTTGCCAGGAGAGCATGTGATTGGGGTGGAGCCCAGGGTGGGGGGGAGTGCAGAGGGAAACCCCACCCCATGTCAGGGGGATTGGGTGGGGGGAGCAGGGTGTAGGGAAGGGGGTCCTGGCCACCTTAGCTGGGAGGGGCTCAGGGCCTGGGGTGGAGCTGGGCCTGTGAGGGTGTTGAGGATGCTGGCCAAGGGCCCAGCTGGGAAGGTCAGGGAAACTGAGGCAGAGTACTGACACTTTTTGTAGTTGTCACAGCAGATGGATGGGGGTGGCAGTCACCTTGATGAGGCTGGCCCTGGACCCTTACTCACTCATAGAAGGTCTATATTTTTTCACGAATTCAATCACTCATACAGGCACTCATTCACTTCTTTATTCAATGAACCAACATTTGCTGGGTGCCTTCTATATGCCAGATTTTGCACTCTGCCCTGGGAATATGTGAGTGACCAAGATGCTTGCAGCCTAATGAAGGGAGAGAGAGGGACCACACAATCCAGCATGCTGCCTGCTGTGACCAGGGGTGACATAGGAGTTTCCTCAGAGGACAGAAAGAGGAAGAGGTGTGTCAGAGGATGCTTCCCTGGGGACAGAGAGCCGGGCCTTGAGCAATGAATGGACGTTCACCATTCTGAGGGTTAGGAAAACTCCCTGGATATGGAAGCTATAGGCTTTGGAGTAAAGGGACAGGGAAAGTGACCTTATGCTATGGCCTTTCCCTGGGCTGGGGCAAGGGCTGGCCTGGACCCCTCTCTGTGTATCTGGCTGGCGGCCGCCTCCACTGAGAGAAACCAAACAAAGTGAGTCCAAAATTTCTTTTTTTTTTTTTTTTTTGCGGTACGCGGGCCTCTCACTGTTGTGGCCTCTCCTGTTGCGGAGCACAGGCTCCGGACGCGCAGGCTCAGTGGCCATGGCTCACGGGCCCAGCCACTCCGCGGCATGTGGGATCTTCCCGGACCAGGGCACGAACCCGTGTCCCCTGCCTCGGCAGGCGAACTCTCAACCACTGCGCCACCAGGGAAGCCCGTGAGTCCAAATTCAAATGCTGCCTACCCCAGCCTGCGCCCCATCCCTCGTCCCCTCCCTGCGTATTATTGCCAGCATCAAGCCAGGAACCTAGGTGCCCTCCTGAACACCTCTTTTTCGCTGAAGCTCTAGTGCCAATCGGTCACCAGGCTCTTGCCACCATTTCTCTTGTCTTCCCCTCCCCCATGCCCCCTCTTGGTGTGGTCCTGTCCCTGGGGGGCTGCACAGGCACCCTGTCTACCATCTTGCCTCTGGCCTCTCCTTCACTGCATCCTTTGCGAGATCTCCAGCACTGGTCGCAGAGCCTGGCCACAGTGAGGGCTCAATCCCTCCATGCCTGTTCTCAGAAACCATCTGATTTGATCTTTACATTGTTCAAATGGGAAAGCAGAAGTCCAGAGAGGTGCAGACACTTGTCTGAGGTCAAACCGCGGGAGAGACTTGAACTTGGTCCTTCTGACTTGCAGGCTCTTTTTCTCAGTGCCAGGGCCACACAGGTGCTGTTCCTTTGAGTTCAGGAGAGTGGCTTGGGAGTGAGCAGTCAGCAGGAGGTACAGCCCTGGGAAATGGCTGGGCTCAGGGTCTGAAGGGAGGGAGGACCTGGGAGTGAAGATGGGGCCTCATCCAAACTCTTCTTTTTTCATCACCAGAAATCCCCCTTTAGTTTGGGTAACTGGACCCCCGAATCTCACCCTGCCCCCATCCCTCTGGCTGATAATCCATGCCTTATGTCTCCTCACCCTGCCTGGGTAGTCACCGGGGGCTCTGGGTGGTGGGTCAGACTTCCCCAGCACCCCAGGGCCCCAGGCCCTCCACTTGCTCCACTCCCGCCCGCATCTGCCCTGGCTTGCTCTGTCTCCTTGGGGCAGCTGGCTTTTGTCCCAGTGGAGCATGTGAACAGCTAGGGTGGGGCCATAGGAGGGGATCCCCAGTAGGCCTCACTTCTCCCATCTCACATGGTTCCCATTCTGTACCCAAGGATGTCTGGGAGCCCACATACGGACCTCTGAGCCCTCCTGCCTGCCCTTCCACTCTCTGGGGCCCACAGGATGGCTGGGTGTGTGGGGGAAACTGAGGGAGAAAATCTGTGGATGTGGGGACCAGGGGACCCTGTGTGACCCAGGGCGTATCCCCCTTCGAAGATCAGTTTCCCCAGCTACAAAAAAAGAGGAGCTGAGTGCTGGGATTCTATAAAGTAGGCAGATAGATGTGAGTCCAGCTGGAGCTTCCACGCTGGCCACCCTGGAACCTGAGTCAGGAGATCTTTGAAAAGAATGCCTCCTGATAACGGATCACCTACTCTGTGCTCGGCACTGCATCAGGGAGTTTGTGGGCATTACCTTATGGAATCTTACAACAGCTCTCCGGGATGGGTCTTATTAGCATCCACGTCTTATAGAAGAGAATACTGAGGACCAGAGAGGTTAAGTACCAGGTCCAAGGAGACACAGCTAGTAAGCTGTAGAGGCTGGATTTGAATTAGGTCTCCTGGACTTGGAGTCTGTGCTCTTCATTCTGGCAGTAGAGGCTCAGGCAGAGACGCATGACCTTAGAGGGCAGAGCCCAGCCCTTGGCGGAAGCCCATCCTCCCTGTTGGATCTGAGGGTAGTGGGTTTCCCACCCCAGAGACTGTGTGCAGGCCCGCCTGGACTGCTCCTTTTCCATCCTCCTTCCACTTGGGGGTAGCGGTGGGGGTGGGGGGAGGCTATGTGGTTCTGAGCGGACGTTTCTAGGCTGAGATACCAGCCGTTCTGCCCTGAAGCCCTGGGGGCCCTCAGCATGGCACATCATATCCGGACCTCAGTTTCTTATCAACCAAATGGACACACTTCTGGTGCTACCGGGTTTTAAAGGCTCCAGTGTCTCACGGATCTCGGGTGAAAAACCACCTTAGTGTCCATCATAGAATAATTAATAAAATGTCTTGGCTGGAGCGGGAGCAGAGGAAGTAAATGGGCGGAGGCCGAGGTGACAGCTGGCTAGAGAGGTGGAGCCAGGGAATGGGTGGGGAGGGGCGGGCCAGGCGGGCCAGAGCTCCGGGGCACAGTTAGAGACGCACCCAAGGAGCAGGCAGTCCGCATCCCGCATCCATCAACCGCCCTGCACCATGAGCCGTAAGTCCGGCCCTGGTGGCCCCAGAATCCCCTTTGCCTCCTGGTGGAGCCTTGAATGCCAGGCTCAGCCCTTCATCTCTCTCCCTCTGCAGGGCGGAGTGTCTCGCTTCGGTTCCCGCTGCTGCTGCTGCTGCTGCCGCCGTCCCCTGTCCTGCCAGCGGCCCCCGGGGCACCCGCGCCGGGTAGGCGGCCCCTTTCCTGCCCCCGAAGAGCCCCAGGTCCTGCGTCCCTGGCCTGGCCCCCACCCGCCTCTTCCCTCCGGCCGGCCCAGCTTCCCCTTTTCGGCTCGCGGTGCCTGGGGGTGGGGAGGGGGCTGAGTCTGTCGGTGGGATGGGGGCTCTCTGCAGACCCCCGGGGGCTGTGGCTTTGGCTAGGACGCCACTGGGTTCTTTTCGGGGGGAAAGGGCAGACTGGGATCTCGGGCCGGCTTTGGGAAAAGGGACAGCCTCTCTCCAGGCCCTCACCTGTTCTGGGCCCCCAGCGATCCAAGCTCATCCCCAACAATCCCGCTGTTTCCCCTGCGGGCCACTTTCGGAGGAAGCAGCAGGCTCCAGGGGAAGGCGGGCTGGCGAGTTCTCTTTCTCCAGCCTCTAACTTTCTGGTACCCTTCCGGATTCCCAGCCCCAGTGGAGAAGGTCTCCCTCGGTGAGGACCCGGGGTTCACCAGCCATTCCAGAGAGAGTGGAGGTGGAAATACACTTACGGGGCTGGGTTGCTTCCCCTGAGGTTTAAATCCTCACCTGTGAGGTCCCCACTGGGCGGATGAGTTAACTGAGGCTCAGGTAGGGGCTAAAACCCTCTCAAGCTCACACAGTGCATGGTGGGCTCAGGGTTGGAAGCTGGATCTACCTGACTGTAGGCATTTTTCAGGGTCTTTCCTCAGAGTCCTCCCTGCCCTTCTCACCCCCTGCCAATGGACCCTGGTTTCATCACCCCAAAGAAGATGGGGAAAGTCAGGTCCTGTAAAATTCACACCTTCCTCCCCCTCCACCATGCATGTACCAGGTTCCAGGTGAAGGACTGCAGTTCCTCCTTTGGACGGCCTCCCTCCCCCAGCTTACTGCTTGTGTGTGTGTGTGTGTGTGTGTGTGTGTGTGTGTGTGTGTGTCTGTGCAGAGTCTGGACAGAGCTTCCTTCATCACATAGCTGTGTGAGCTCTGTGTCTCCATTTCCCATCTGCAAAATGGGGTCAACAGAGGATGGTGGGGAGGGGATCTGAGCCTTCTGTTGTGATGCTCAGAGGAGAGAGAAAGGGTACCTATGTGAACTGGGAATCAGACCAGGTTTCCTGGAGGAGAGGGTTTGAGAGGATGGCATTTGGGGAGTCAAGGAAAGGATGGAGGATGCTGGGCATGAGCAAAGGTCTAGTTTGTGGGAAGAAGAGGAGGAAGACCCACGTGGCCAGCACTTTACAGTTTACAAAACCAGGCTGTGGGCACCTCTGTTGTTGGTGCTCACAACAGCCCTGCCAGGGAGATGTTAGTCCCATTCTACAGAAGGGAACTCTGAGGCCCAGAGGGGTGAGCCCATTTGTCTGACACCCCAGTAGCAGAGCCGAGGCTGACTAGGCTGACCCAGTGGCCCCTTTTATTAGCCCCTGGATCAGCCCAGCACTTCCTCTGAAGCCCCATTCAGCCCCATCCAGGCCCCCAGGGTACCCAGGGCTCACCCTGCCTGCCCTCCTGTGTCTGTTCACCAGTACTTAGTGAGCCATGGTCTGTGCCATTTTGCTTTTAGCCTTTTCTACTTATCTTTATGTTGTGTTTAAACAGAATTGTTTTCTTCACTCCACAAACACCCCCAGGGGATTGCTTTATGCCAGTCTTTGGCTGCAGCCTGGAGACAGAGCTGGGAGGAGCTCGCAGTCTGGTGGAGGAGATAGAAATGCCCACAGACTGTCATCCAAGGGGGTCAGGGCCATGACTGAGAGAAGCACAGGGGTGTGTGGGGCTCGGGGGTGGGGGGCAGTTATCTCTCGTCCCTTACATGTGAAGAATTTCGGGAGGCTTATTGGAGGTGGTGACGTTTGACCGGGACCCCGAAGGAGGTGGTGAGTTGGTGGAAATCCTGTGAGGTTTTACTATGAAACTCTGGAAGGGGTCTTCCTGGCAGAAGCAAGGGCATGAGCTGAAGCCTAAAGGTCTGAACTGTGGGAGTGGAAGGGCACACAGGAAGCAGTAGGACAGAGGCAGCTGCTGGTGGACACGGGCCTTTGGATGCAGAATGAGGAGAGGGACTGGGGCCTCAGGGTAACTGGGAACAGAAGAGTGAGATTGGGCGGATGACTTGGAGGTGAGACTGGAGGCTGGGGAACCGTTAAGGAGGCTGCTGCAAGGATCAAGGAAAGAACGGAGGACCAGTTGGGTTTTGGGGCAGAAGGTTTGGGCTGCCTTCCTGTTTCCACGTCTCTGGGTGAACTGAGGTCCAAGATGCCTGGATATTCAGGGGAGGCATCTGCCCGGGAAAGCCAAAGCCTGTGTTTTGTCCCCAGAGCAGCAGCAAAGGCTGATTCCCCCAGGAGACAAGGGCTGCAAGCTTACGTGGGGGCAGGTGGCGGGAGAGAATGCTGCTTCTGCCTCTCTTGTGACAGACGAGGGGAGTCCGGCTTGGAGGACAGGGATGTGCCAGGGCTTCCTTAATGCTCAAGTTCATCCCCTCCAGTTCCTGGACTGGGCTTAGTGCCCTCTCTTTGGCTAGGGACAGGGCATGACCTGGCAACCGGAGCTCCATGCCAGGCAGAGGGGCCTGAGACCAGCTAACCCTGGAACGTAGGGCAGGAACCCCGCCTGTGCCAAACCTTCCTGCTGACTGCAGCCTCCTATCTGCAGCACCAGAGGAGTCTGTGGGCTGGGAGAGGACTTCCTCTTCCAGCCATCGGGGCCCGCTGCGGTGGTGCCTGGCGGCTGGCCGCTGACCTGGTAGGGTGTAGGGCCTGGGGCCCAGGTCTGGCTGGTCAGGACCCCCTTTTTTTTTTTTCTCTCTTTGGCTACCAAGCTCCTGGAGCTTCTCTAAATATTATTCTTAGGGAATTTCAGTCCAGCCTCTCTCTTTAACCGGCCCTCTTGCTGCCTGGTGCTTCCAAGTCCTGACGACTTGGTGTTCCCTCACTGTGCCTGGAGCCCTGACTCCTGGGCTGGGGGACATTTCCTTGCCAGATCCTCAGAAAGTTCTGGAGCCGGGAAGTCCTAAACAGTTCCTCATCGGTGGGAATGTGTGCAGTGTGGGCTTGCTGATCAACCCCACCTCTGGGCTGGCTTGAAGACGCAGTGAGAGCAAGCTGCAGGGTTCTCTGCTGATGGGGCTAGGGAATCCTATTGATGCAAATAACCCAGATATTTGGAGATAGATTGGCTTCGCCCAGAGTTGAGAAGAGAAGGGGAGGCAGAGAGGGAGGTTTTTCCTTAGAGCTTGTCTGTTCCCTCCCCTTCCTGGAAAACGCTGAAAAATAAGGCCCAGAGGGTACAGGGTACTTGCCCAAGGACACACAGCCAATAAAGAGTAGTCACTCTCCCATAAATCTTCACCCAGCACCTACTTGGTGCCTCGCCCTGTGCTGGGTGTGGGAACTCAAGGCACTTTAGACTCTGTGTCTGCATCTCCCTAGTTCTCTTTCTTGATGTTTTATTATACAGGGTGTCCTCCGCTGGGCACATGAAAGCATGTGGGATTTAAGTTAGACTGAAGGAAGGCCTTCCTTTGTGAATAGTTCCCAGAGCTCTGGTCGCGGTAGGGGATGGTGCTCCCTCTGGGGTCCTGGTTTCAGGTCCACCTTGAAGGAAAGGTGACAAACCTATCTCACCTGGGGTCATCCCCAGCCTGTGGGACAAAGTGACTCTCCCTCTGCATCCCTTCCCCAAATCCAGGGCTGGGCACCTCCAGGAGGAGGAAGGGCAGGGAAGAGAAGGGAGTTCATCTTGGCTCTGCAGTTTTGAAGCAGTGGGGCCTGGGCGAGTCTCCTCATCTGTGGCAGGGTTGGGGCGGTGGGGGGGTGGCAGGGGTAGGGGGAGTCTCACCCACCCACCAGGGAGTGCTGAGCAGATAAACGAGGTAGATATGCAAGGTTGGAGGGTCAGCCAGAGCCCTGGCTTCCGGGCCCATCGTGACCGTCCAGCTGTGGTTAGGCTCCCCTCCCCGGGGAAGGGGGGGAGCAGCACCCAGTCTCCTCTCTGCGCATCCTGACATCATGGGGCCGCCAGCGGCAGCTGCTATCCTTGCTGGGAAGAACTTTCCCTGCCCTGGGGCCGCCGGTGTTTATGGAAAGATTGCGGAAGAGGAGGGAGGGAAAGTTGGGCAGCAGGTCTGGGAGGGAGGGACCTCTGCCCGCGCCTGGCACACAGACTGTCCTGACAGGAGAGGGAGAGGGAGAGGGATGCGGGCAGGAACTTCTGCGTCTGGGGACACAGTTCTGCTGCCTGCTGAAGCCCTCAAGCCAGACTTCAGAGCCAGCTGCAGGGGTGCTGGGGAGATCAGGGAGTCCCTCTGGCCAAGCCTGGGCTGGCTGGTCTCCTCGCTGCAGTTTAAATTCCGCAAACATTGAAGCTCTGGCCACCACATCTGGATTCCCTGGGTGGCTGGATCTCTCCAGGACATGGGTTGAGCCCCAGCTGTGTGCACGGCCTCTGTGAGGGAGGAGAAAGTCAGGGAAAGCCCTTTTCCTTGGAGGCTTGTGGTGGAGCAGAGCAGGTCGAGCTGGAACGTGGAGCAGGGGCGAGAGAGCGTGGCGGAGTGTGGACATTTAGGGGGCGGCTTTCCGGTGCATGCGCAGTGGGCAGGGTCAGGTAGATCTGGAGGGAATTTACTAGGGCCGAGCCGCAGCCTGGGTCAAGGAGGGAGCAGAGCAGAGCTTTCGGCTTTGGGGTCGCGGGATGGGCTGCCACAGAACAAACTGAGTTCCTTTTGGGATCCCTACTGGGGGAGGGATGGGGAGACAGCCCAGAGAAGGGCCGCGCCTCAGCCCCTGTGCCCGCTGAGTGGTAGGGCGACCCGTTTGTGACAGAGGGCCTGGTGCGCCAGGGTCGGGAGCTGGGCAGTGTGGCGCCACGGGAGCTCCTGGGCAGAACAGCAGAGTGTCCTGAGCAGGAGGGATCGATGAGATCCCAGGTCCCTGAGCCCGCGGCACGGCTGAGCCTGAGCTCCCTGGCGTTTCTGGGCCTGTGGCTGTAGGAGGGGAGGGGGGTCCTGCCAGGCCCCTGCCCTGGGCCCCACCTGCCGGTCCGCCTGCGTTGGTCTGATAAGGCCTTTTTGTTCGTTGGTCTGATAAGGCATTTTTGTTCAGACTTCTTCCCGTGGGTTCCTTCTTTTTATACCCTGCAAGGGTCACAGAGGTGCTATTGTGGGGCTGTGGGGAGTTGCCAGGGCTTAAGCAAGACTATTTGCATGATTCTGCAATGTGAGGAGCCCTAAACCAGAGGGTCCTGCCCTGTGACCACAGCAGGTGATCAGCCTGCGGTGGCTTCTCAGCCTCCTACCTCCCGTTGCTCTCCTCTTGACCCCCTATAGTCAGATGCACAAAGAATCAGAGTTCCCTGTAACGTTGGCTCTGAGCCCAGTTAAGGAAGTGTGTTTGCAGGAGGGACCTGGTGTTTCTGTGGAAGGCCAGGGAAGGAGCTGCTGCCAGGAGCCAGGCGCCCTGGGTCTGCAGGAGGCCTGGCTCTGTTCCTTGGTCTTGGCCAAGTCGCCACCTCTTCCCAAGCCTCGGTGTCCCTCGCTGAGCTGTGAACGAGCACTGAGGGAGCTCCAAGGAGACTCTGACCTTGCTGTTGGAGAATCATTGAAGCTGTGGTTGGGGAGATCTGGGTTAGACACAAGGAGGGACTTCCTGCTGGGGGAGTGGTTCTCCAGGGGGTTGGTGGGGGTGATGCTAGAGCTCCACTCACCCTCTGGAGAGAGTATTCCGGCCACATCTCTCCTGTTCTCGTGGTGCCTGACCTCCCTCAAGATCCTAGAGCCCATACTCCACCCTGATGTGAGCTGGGACTGGGTCTATCAGGATGGGAGCTGAGACTCCCCTCAAACCCATTCTCTGTCTTCTGGGTTCTGGGAAACGTCTTTCCTTGGACTTGACGGCTGAGTGTCTGGGGGTGGGGTGGAAGTGAAGGGATGGGCAGTTGGTCTGGTGCCACTTGCTGGGTGACCCATCTGGGTTTCCCCTTATTTGGCCTCAGTCACCCCACCCCATCTGCCTATAACTGGACGTTGTGATACCTGCTCTTCCTTCCCTTCTGCAAAAATAAAGGAATGGTAGGTCCTGATGCCCAGAGGTTGGGGGTTGGTCTGAGAACCCCTATCCTTTTCCCTTTACTGAACCCCACAAACTCTGCCCTTGGTGCTGAGCTCTGACTTGGCAGAAAGTGAATGCTCTAGAAAAGCCTGTGGCTGCAGTGTCTTATCAGCTGTTTCCTAGCCTTTGATGTCACAGCCTGGGGCCTGGACTCTTCTCCTGCCCCACTTTGGTGACAGCAGGGAGGGAGGGGGGGACTTCCCCTGGTGGCCTGATGTGGGGAAGATTGGAAACCCAGAGCAAGGTCTGGAAACGGAAGGGCCAGGAGCTTTCTGGTCATAGCTGTGGGGACAGAGAGGACCCTTGGGGAACACAGGAGCCAGTAAGTTAGGAGAGAGCTGTGACTGGACTCCCTGCCTCTGGTCCCAACGAGAGGTCGCCCTGGAGTGGTCTCTGATCTCTGTTTCTCCCCACAGTGAACCCCTGTTGTTACTATCCATGCCAGCACCAGGGTATCTGTGTCCGCTTCGGCTTTGACCGCTACCAGTGTGACTGTACCCGCACGGGCTATTCCGGCCCCAACTGCACCATCCGTGAGCTGGGCCTCCAGCCCCAATCCTTCTCCCCTGGGCTCATCCTCCAAGACCCCCATTTCCTACCTTCGCCTCCGGCCGTGGCCCTGTTCTCTTTTCTTGCCTGCCCCTGACCTCTGACACTGCCCCTGACCTCTGACACTGCCCCTGACCTGGCTCCAGCCCAAGCCCTCACTCCTGGCACAACCCACTCCCCGCTTCTGGGCACTGTAGTGAGTTTTCACTGCCCAGCTCTGGCCTTACTGACCTCAGTCCCTGGTCCTGTCTCCTGTCCTCACGTCTGGTTCTGGTTCTGTCACGTGCCATCACTCCCAAGGTTCCATCCTTACCCCTGCCCCAGAGGTTCTACCCTGTTCCATCCTGGCCCTCGTCCCCCGTTCCCATCTTCCACTCTGGCTGCTTCTGGTCCTGCCAGGAGGGCCTGACTGAATGGCTCCCACTGCCCTCACAGCTGAGCTATGGACCTGGCTCCGGACTACTTTGCGGCCCAGCCCCTCTTTCCTCCACTTCCTGCTGACGCATGGCCGCTGGTTCTGGGAGTTTGTCAATGCCACCTACATCCGGGACATGCTCATGCGTCTGGTACTCATAGGTGGGTGAGGGCGGGGCCCTCCTAATCTAGGGGAGCAAGAAATCCTGCCACTTCCTGGAATTCTTGGCATATGATAAGGGCAGGGGTTGGGGGCGGGGGGCTTCTAGGGTGCCAGATAAAAAAAGAACAACCCAAGGAATTCCCTGGCCGTCCAGTGGGTAGAACTCCGTGCTTTCACTGCTGAGGTGCGGGTTCAATCCCTGGTCGGGGAAGTAAGATTTTGGCCGCATGGGGGGACCAAAAATAGAACAACCCAAGAAGAGGCAGGGAAGGGGGTGTGTAACTGGGTGCAGGAACCCCTTGTCACTATTATTTTCGCCCTCTGCAGCGCGTTCCAACCTCATCCCCAGCCCCCCCACCTACAATGCAGCTCATGACTACATCAGCTGGGAATCCTTCTCCAACGTGAGCTACTATACACGTGTTCTGCCCTCTGTGCCCCAAGACTGCCCCACGCCCATGGGGACCAAAGGTAATGGCGATGGGGTGAGGGGGCTGGGCCTGGGCTGTGTCACAGGAGATGCTTAGTTCTTCTGTTTGGGAAAAAACAAGCAGAAGAGCAGTTACTGACCCATTTCACAGATGGGTGGACCAAGGCAAGACATATGCATATCCAGAACCAGGGATGAGGACAGGAAGAGGTTGTGGAGGGGTCTTGTCTGAGGTCAGCGGCAGAGTCAGACGAGTGCTTCCATATTTCCAGGGTGCCTCTTTGCCTGAACCTTGTCTACTAGATGGGTGGGATCCTGCTGAGATGGGGGTGACTTTAAAGTTGAAATGGAGGAAGGAAAGAATAGTGAGCTATTTACAGGGTGCTAACTCTGAGTTTGGGTCTTTACTAATGTAAACAGTCTTATGTGCTTCATCGGCGCAGTTTACACATAAAGTCAAATTTTTTCTTTAGTTGTTCAAGACCCCCACTTGGTCTCGTTGGTAGGGGTCTTCTTCCCAAGACCTTCTTCCTTATCCGCTCCTGTGATTGTCTTCAGACAGGGGGGTTTACTCAGTTTAGAGCCATCAATTCAGTTTCAAGTACACAAAGGACAATACAGTCACATTCCTTAGGTATCACCTGTGGCTGCTTTCCTGCTGTATCAGCCAAGCTGAGCAGATGCGACAGAGATCACATGTTGGCAGAGCCTAAGATATTGACTATCTGGACTTGTACAGAAAAAGTTTGCTGACCCTTGGTTTAAAAGATTCCATCTCACCAGTTTTCTGCCGGTTACATTGGCACTCCTCAAATCCACTGCATAAAATAGATATCATTTGCCCTATATTATAGAAGAAGAAATTGAGGGTCAGAAAGATGGGATGACTTCTCCATGTTCACACAGTTAGTAAATGGCATAACCCATTTCAGACACAGGCTACCTTGCTCCACGGCTGGGGAATCCAAGCTCTTCTGTTTGTTTGTTTTCTCTTTCTTTTTTAGGGGGAGGAGGGTTAACTTGTACAAAGTAGCAAACACACACAAAAGTTGAGAGAAAAGTATAAGGAAGTCCTATGTATCCATCTCTGGGTTTCAAGATTTGTCCACAATTTGCCAATGTTATTTCATCTATCCCCTCTCACCTTACTTTTTATGGAGTTTTTAAAAACAGATTCCAGATATCACGCCATTTCACCCATAAATACTTCTAGAGTCTTTTGGTAGAGAAGGTGCAAGGGGCCATCAGGTGGGAGGGAGGTGGTCCTGCGGAGGCCACTCTGGGCTTCCTGCGTGGACCAGTTCGGTCTGGCGAGCCTGGAAGGCCCTGAGGCAGGAAGATCCAGACCGGAAGCAGCTACTGCTCTTTCCCACCTCCCCAACCAGGGAAGAAGCAGTTGCCCGATGCCGAGCTCCTAAGCCGTCACTTCCTGCTCAGGAGGAAGTTCATCCCTGACCCCCAAGGCAGCAACCTCATGTTTGCCTTCTTTGCGCAACACTTCACACATCAGTTCTTCAAAACTTCTGGCAAGATGGGTCCTGGCTTCACCAAGGCTTTGGGCCATGGGGTGAGTACCTGGGAGGGGCTCGGGACTTCTCTGGGCTGCACTTGGCACATGGAGGTTGTTACAGGTGGGGCAGGACCCAGAGGTCTGAGTGGACCCTCTCTCTGTCTTCAGGTCGACCTTGGCCACATTTATGGAGACAATCTGGAACGTCAGTATCACCTGCGGCTCTTTAAGGATGGGAAACTCAAGTACCAGGTAGCACTGGGTCTTGGGATGGGGCGTTGGGAAGAACCTTCCACGGTCTTCCCTGGCAGAAGCTGTTGGTGGGGGCCTCCAGGGTGTCCTGAGATGGCCAGCTGCAGAAGCTGGAGGTGTGTGGTCGGAGGAGAGACAGCAAACCCTGGGAAAGGGTGCCAGGGAAGAGACGCAGACAAGGAGCAGACGTAGCCTCTCATGTTCTCCTGGGAGGTGGGTTTTGGGGCTCCACAGGAGATGAATATTTCCAGCCTGAATTTATTCATTTAATTATTCTACAATACTAATTGGGCACTGTGATGTGCCTGGCACAGGGGAGCAGTGGCCGTGATAGTTATGGGCCCTACCCTCAAGCTCCTCAGGGACCACAGACACAAACAGTAGGGTGCTAGTTCCACGAGGACTTTTCGTCTGAACTCGCACTGTTCAGTGGTGCTAGAGCCACATAGGTAATCATCTCATGCACTTCTCAAATCCACTGCATAAAATAGGTATCATTTGCCCTATTTCATTGCTGTGAGCCACATCTAAGTTATCTGAATTTTTCTAGTGGCTACATTAAAAAAGGTAAAAAGCAACAGGCAAAATTGATTTTAATAAAATATTTTTAATTTAACCCAATATATCCAGAATCTTATCATTTCAACATGTAATCAACACAAAAATTGTCAATAAAATATCTCACTGTTTGTGCTAAATCTTCAAAATCTGACCTGTATCTTACACTTGTAGCACATCTCAATTTGGGTGCCAGATTTTCGTTGGAGATTCTGATCTGCATTTAGATTTCATAAAATTTACAGTTGAGAAAGTAGATTCACATGTCCAAGTTGTTCTAAGCATAACGACTTCCCAATAGCTGAGGTATCTGTTTTAAAATTTAAATCTAAAGAAAATAAAATTAAAAATCCAGTTCCTCATTCACACCGACCACGTTTCTAGAGCTTAGTAGCTGCACGTAGCTAGTGGCTACCATACTGGACCATGCAAATCTAAACAAAAACCAAGACAGAAAGTTCATTGCTGAATCTTTTGGGCTAAGAACAGTATCTGGCATATGGTAGGTCCTCGGTGGACATTCATTGAGTGAATGACGACACTGCCACATAATTAATTACACTTGTGATAGCTGCCACCAGGGAGAAGCCACGAGAGTGTGCAGAGGATGGGGAAGGCTTCCTTAGGAAGTACGAATAAACCAAGAGTTGCATGAATGATGATGAGAAATTAGGGAGGCCAAGAAGGGCACAGGACAGGCCAGGTTATCAGGCATCAAGGCTGGAGAGGGGAAGTCAGCTTGAGTGAATTCAAGGGAGGAAAATGAGGGAGATGCTGCTGGACACCTGAGTGATTCCCGATGAGCGAGGGTCGCGTTAAGGATTTCTGATTTCTGCCAAGAGCAGAGAGAGGACTTGGAAGGGTTTTAAGCCAGGGTGTGATGCTCGATTTGGGTGTTTTAAAGGATTGCTCTGGCTGCAGAGCCGAGAACGGACTGTCTGGGGGGATGGAGCCACTTACGAGGGGAGTCAGGGTGGAAGATGAGGGTGGGTTGGAAGAGGGTGGTGGCAGAGGGGAGAGAGAAAGGGACTCACTTTAGGAGGTAGAATCCACAGGCCTTGGTCAGGGAGGCCGGGTGGCCACCCTGCGTGTTACGGGCAGCTGTCAGTAGGAGTGGAAGGCTGTCAGCTGTGCAGGTGCAGGCACCCGGCCCCTCCCCAGGTTACCAGGTGGCCCCATCCTGCAGGTGCTGGACGGAGAGATGTACCCGCCATCGGTGGAAGAGGCACCAGTGCTGATGCACTACCCCCGGGGCATCCCGCCCCAGAGCCAGATGGCAGTGGGCCAGGAGGTGTTCGGGCTGCTTCCGGGGCTCATGCTCTACGCCACACTCTGGTTGCGTGAGCACAACCGAGTGTGTGACCTGCTGAAGGCTGAGCACCCCACCTGGGGCGATGAGCAGCTCTTCCAGACGGCCCGCCTCATCCTCATCGGTGAGGACTCCAAGCCAGCCTTGTCCTGGAAGGTCACGTCCTCTGTCCTGAGAAGCGGAGTGGAGGGTTTGGGGACAGAGAGATTCGAATCCTGAACAGGGTCCTTCCCCTGTGTGAGCCTCACTTTCCAAATCTATACATTGGGAATAATGATGGTGGTAAGGACTTGTTGAGATGATGAATGGGAAAGTACTTAGCACATAGTAGGCCTTCAGAAAACGGAGGGCTGTGGTAGCTGATCATTAGCTGGGTGACTAGCAGCAAATCTGATTAGCCACCCCAAATCTCAGTTTCCCCATCATCCCAGGAGCACTCAGGGACATCCTCAGCAAATACCCCAGCTTGCCTGGGCTTCGGGAATCCTTATGTTTCCTGCCCTGCATGCATCTGCCTTCCCGGAGGTTGGTAGCTTCTGGGTGCCTCAGAGACAAGATATTTTTGTGTCCCCTACAGGGGTGAGCCTGCAGCCTAAAATGTCAGATGGTTTTTGGCCTGGGAGCTTGGCCCCCGACACCCCTGTCCAGACCATATTCACTCTGTGTCACCAGTGAGCCCCTGCCCCCGCCTCAGCATCACTGGGCGTAACTGTTCCCAGTTATAGTGCCTGATTCATTGGTGCCTGGAAGAGCCATGCACTGGGGTTAGGAATGGCCTAAAGAACGAGAAGGGGCTGGTTCAGAAGTCCCAGTATTTTTTTTCTTTTTCTTAACATCTTTATTGGAGTATAATTGCTTTACAATGGAGAAGTCCCAGTATTATAGAGACTTTGATCAGAGAGGGCAAGTCTGTGTCTGCAGGCTGCCCAGCATACTGACTGGTGATGAAGCTGTGGCCAGAGGCGGGACTCCTAGGGCCCTGCACCTCCAGTGCTTCATTCAACCCTCCCGACAGCCTTGTGACCCAGATAGGATTACCCTTTGTTGTGAAGATTAAGAGGCAGAGAGGGTAAGTGAATTCTCCAAGGCCATTCAGTGCAGAGAGACTTGAACCAGGTCTGGCTGCCACCAGTTTATGCTGCTTCCACCACGTCTTGAGGGGAGTGCTTTCCTGAGTGCGGACGGGGTGGGAGCCTTAATCTACTCTTTTGTGACGTGTGCGTATGGGGAGGGGATTCTCCCCTCACACCTCCACGTAGTGTTCCCACTTCTACACATATTGACCCTCCGTGTTATGCCAGGCCCTGTACGAAGCGGTTCAGATGCATTCTTTGTCTACTCCTCTCAGGAACCCTGTGAATATTGTTATACTGGTATGATTCTAGTACACGTTTTACAGATAAGGAGAGTGAGCTTCAGAGAGAGTAAGTAGCACAGCCCCAGCTCGGGTGGCTAGAAATGGTGAAGCCAAGATTTAAACCCAGGTCTGCTGATTGCAGTTCCAGTGGCTCCAGATCATTTTGTTACAAGTCAATTTGTCTAGTGGTTAGTTGGCCAAAATATCGGTTTCTTCTGATATCTAGCTGACCAGTTTTCATTGTGTTATGGAATGTTCCTTTTGTGTCTTCCCTGGCTCTTTGCTCTGTAGCTTGTCCCTGAGGGGGCAGAGGAATTTGATACATAGGAAGACAGGAGGGTTATATTTGGGACAAGATTCACTTATGTCTCCAGTGTCCCTTGTTTGCTGCTGCAGCTCTTAGAATGGTCTCTTGGGAGCTCCCCTCACCCCCATCATCTTAGGCACGCTGAAATTCCCTCACTAAGTTAATCTCTACGTGCCCACCTTTTGTGGTGTCTCCAGCCTCTTTTAATGGGCTGTGGGAAGGTGGCCACCAGAGGGTCACAAAACCCATCCTCAGATACTTCCTTTGCGTGTCCTGCTCAGCCCGGCCTGTGACCTCCCCAGGGAACATGGGACTAGCAGGTGGCTCCTGTCTTGGGACATCAGTGCGGCCTGAGACAGAAAGTTCCATTTTCACACCCCGTGACAAAAAGGCAAAGTGAAAGTGGCCAAATAAAATCAAACAACCATTACAATGATAAAGAGGCCAAACCAAGCCCTTTGCGTGAACTGGCCCACTTCCCAAGCCTGGTGGCTAAGTCCCTGTGCTCTGTTGACCCCATTCCCCATCCTTCGTCCCAGGGGAGACCATCAAGATTGTGATCGAGGAGTACGTGCAGCAGCTGAGTGGCTACTTCCTGCAGCTCAAGTTTGACCCGGAGCTGCTGTTAGGCACCCAGTTCCAGTACCGTAACCGAATTGCCATGGAGTTCAATCACCTCTACCACTGGCACCCGCTCATGCCCGACTCCTTCCGGGTGGGCCCCCAGAACTACAGCTATGAGCAGTTCCTGTTCAACACCTCCATGCTGGTGGACTACGGGGTCGAGGCCCTGGTGGACGCCTTCTCTCGCCAGCCCGCGGGCCAGGTGAGCCTCAGAGGAGCGCTGGGGAGGGCCGCTGGGCTCTGGGATCCAAACCCCAGTTTTCTGTGAAAGGGGGAGAGTGTCACCCCTACTGGGAGGTCGTGATCATTCCTTCATTCATTCTGTCGTTCTTTCATTCATTCAACGATACCAGGCGTTACTGCAGGCGCTGGGGATACAGTGCTGAACCAGGTCAATGTGATTCTTGGGTCCTTGTATTTTTGGTGCGTACACCCTAGAAAGGAACGACAGTCATGTGACAGCTAACATCGTTTGAGCACTTACTACATGTTAGGCACTGTACCAAGGGCTTTTCTGAAGAATTATAAGAACCACAACATAGAAAGCGCACCATGCTCTGGGAACTCAGAGAGGGGCTTCTGGCCCAGAGTTGGGGATTGTGGATAAGGAAGTGATGTTTGAGCAGAGATCCAAACAATGGATAGGGGCCTCCCAGGGCAAGAGGTAGCGTTCGTGGCCCGGGGTCTCTGTGTTCCAGACGGAGGGGACAGCATGGGCAAGGGCCCAGAGGTCAGAGGGCATATGGCAATTTGAGGACCAGGAAGACATTCAGGGTATGGCAATATATGCAAAAGTGACTGCACATAGTAGGTCTTTATTACATTAGAGGCCTCTGTTATGGGCTGAATTGCCCCCTGCCCCAAATTCCCATGTTGAAGTCCTAACCTCCAATACCTCAGAATGTGACTGTATTTGGAGCTAGGGTCTTTAAAGAGTTAATTAAGGTAAATGGGGTCACTGAGTGAGCCCTACTGTGACTGGCGTCCTTATAAGAAGAGGAGATTAGGATATAGATGTGCATAGAGGGAAAACATAGGGGAAAGTTGGCCATCTCTAAGCCAAGGAGAGAGGCCTCAGAATGAAACCAACCCTGCCCACACCTTGATCTTGGACTTCTAGCCTTCAGAACTGTGAGGAAATGAATTTCTGCTGTTTAAATTTCTGCACTTTGGTATGGCAGCCCTAGCAAAATAATACAGCCTTTCCCTCTGGAATTTCTAACTAATTTCCTCCGAAATCTTCCCTTCCCCATGTTTGGAAGCTCCCATCTCCTTCCCTAGCTCCCCTCAGCCCCTGCTTCTCTCTCATACTTACCCCTCAGCCCTACCATGAAGCTGTGGCACCATATGGATTTAGGTTTCCCCCTGGTAATTTGACTGCGATTAGCATATACTGCCGCCAATGGGCGGCTGCTGGCTGGCTTACGGCCTCTGTTCTTTGTGGGGACACAGACATGAACAGAGACAATAACTCGTGTGCGGGGCTTCATGGTTTCCAAAGAATTTTCAAGCAATGTCCCTGGTGACGTGTGTGAAAAGCCCTGGTATTTCCTGGTACCAGGCAGAAGGGTCACAGAAGTGTGTGGATTCTCAGGATATCAAAGAGAGTGTGAGAAGTGATAAAACAGGGCCTCCCCTGATAATCCCCACCCATGGTTCCATCTCGGGGTTACCGTGTGACCAACGCTGTGATAACTGCTTTGTATTCTTTATCTCGATTGTTTCACCACATGCTTATTTCACAAGCGTATCAGACTGATGCTTCTACCTTCCTCATTGCTGCGTATGAAGAAACAGAGGATTAGCATAAGTTGTTTGCCTACAGTCCCTGTATTTGTTTCCTAGGGCTGCAAAAGGAACACAGACCAGGGGGCTTTAAGCAGCAGACATTTATTCTTTTTCTTTTTTATTTTTTTGGAAGTTCAAAATATCACCTCTATTACTGATAAAGCTGATTCTAGAAAACCTAAAGCAGGCTTTTTAATAATAAACCCCCAAATAGACAAACTTGGCTACCAAGACATGGAAGCATGGAAACAAGGAAGGTCTCTCCCAACATCCTCCTGTCCCCCCAGAACAAGGAGTATGAGAGAAAACATACTCCCTGGTGTCAACTGAATTCAAGAGCGGCAGAGAGGACAGCTTGAACAACGCATGCCTAGTTACTGTGCTCAAGCTCACCAATAATACTAAGTTACTCCTCCTCTTCTAATAAGGAGGGAGGGGGAGAGGTTGGCAAAAGATGCTAAGAGTGTTAGGCTACTGGGGTTTCCTCCATAGACAAAGAAACATCCAGAAAAAGAAAGAAATATTCCCACCTTACACCTGAGAAGTATCACCTTTTATTCATTTATTCATTGATCCATCCAAGCATCCATTAAACATTTACTACACATTACTAACATCTAGGCCATGAAAAAGATCAATCCTCAAACATTTCTCTAGAAAGCCCTTGTAGTTAACTCCCCCAGATGGTATTAATACCAATCAGAAATTTATTGTTGCACAGTTCTGGAGGCTAGAAGTCCAAAATCAAGGTGTCGGCAGGGCCGTACTCTTGCTGAAGGCTCCAGGGGAGAATCTGTTCCCTCCCTTTCTCTCAGCTTCTGGTGATGGCTGACAATCCTTGGGGTTCCTTGGCTTGTAGAAGCATCACTCCAACATGGTGCTCTCCCTGTGTCTCTCTTTCCTCTTTTTATCAGGACGCCAGTCATTGGATCTGGGGCCACCCTAGTGGAGTATGACCTTGATTACATTTATTTGCAAATAAGGTCACATTCACAGGTGCTGGGGGTTAGGACTCCAACACGGATACAGGCAAGTCAATCCACAATGGCCCCACAGCTTGTAAATGGTTCAGCTGAGATTGGCACCAGCCTCCTCTGGCTTTGCCCCAGGGTGTACAACTTCACCCAACTATGCTTTTCCTCTTTCTCACCCAATTGTCCTTGTTCTACCCAAACAGAACTCTTTCTTTAGCATTATCATTATCAATTCACCCTGAGCAATAGATCTTTCTTTAGATGTATGCTCCTTTTTTTTTTTTTTGACAATTCTTTTGCATTAAGAATATCTTTTTAAACTTTTTATTTTATATTGGAGTAGAGACGATTAACAATGTTGTGTTAGTTTCAGGTGTACAGCACAGTGATTCAGTTATACATATACGTGTGTCTATTCTTTTTCAAATGCTTTTCCCATTCAGGTTGTTACATAATATTGAGCAGAGTTCCCTGTGCTATACAGTAGTAGACCTATGCTCCTTAACAGTTATGAATCAGATTTTTTTTTTTTTGGGCCCTTTTTTTTTTTTTTGGCTGTGCTGTGCGGCTTGTGAGATCTTAGTTCCCCGACCAGGGATTGAACCCGGGCCCTTGGAAGTGAAGGCTCAGAGTCCTAACCACTGGGCTACCAGGGAATTCCCTCTGGAGCCTTCATCTCACCAGGTTACTTGGGCTTTGAACCCTATTTCCCTCCCTTCACAGGATATATTACGCCACTGCCTTGGTCTTAAAGTAAAACTACAAGTTTAGTTAAACTAAATGTGTTTATATATTACACTTTTCATGGCAAGATTTTAGTTCCCTCCCTGCTAGCTCACAACAATTCCTCTCCCAGGAGGCTTGGCAGAAAGAAAGAGACACACATATAATCACCTGTCTCTGTGTGTAGCTTTATCTGGTCTGAATGGAGTGACTTGATACTCTGTGTTCCTACCTTCTAGCTCAGTTTCTCTTTTCTAGTGGTGGCCGGTTACTAGGGGTTCACTTTTTTTTTTTAATTTGTTTATTTACTTATTTTTGGCTGTGTTGGGTCTTTGTTGCTGCGCGCGGGCTTTATCTAGTTGAGACGAGTGGGGGCTACTCTTCGTTGTGGTGCGCAGGCTTCTTTTTGCGGTGGCTTCTCTTGTTGTGCAGCACGGGCTCTAGGCACATGGGCTTCAGTAGCTGTGGCACGTGGGCTCAGTAGTTGTGGCTTGCGGGCTCTAAAGCGCAGGCTCAGTAGTTGTGGCGCAAGGGTTTAGCTGCTCCGCGGCATGTGGGATCTTCCCGGACCAGGGCTCGAACCCACGTCCCCTGCATTGGCAGGCGGATTCTTAACCACTGTGCCACCAGGGAAGTCCCTGCGTTTCACTTTTTAATACTAGATGCTCAGTAAATTTTATTTAATCTCAATTCTGTGATATAGAGAATGGAAAGCAATAGAAATAGGTTCCTTAGCAGAATCCATTAAAAGATTAAACATCTTTGTTCTATGATAAAAACTGATTTGGAGAGTGACAGACACATGTCAGTTCTGCCAGGCAGAGTTTAAAAAATATCCTAGGAAAGCCATAAAGTTTTGGCCCCTCAAATTCACATTTGTCCATCCGTCTGTTTCCATCACTTGAAAGCTCAGAAAGCTTTCTGCCTTTTATTTCCAGATCTGAAATGCCAGTCCCCTCTGCTTGAGTTCTGGACTGTGGCTGTGCTGGCCATCTCCTCTGCAGAGTCCTAGTTGCTGAACCTAATAGTTCCAGAACCTTCCTTAACAGAATGTTGTGGGTTCTCACCTAAATTCAAAGGGCTGGGGAACAGTGTGTCTGGTGAGTGACTAGAGAAGTCCTCCTGGCCCACTCCACACTCTAAAGATGAGGAAACTGAGCCTCGGAGGGGGTCCCTGAGAAAGCATGGCAGTGCAGACCTAGGGCCGGGTTCCCAGCTTGGTGGCTGCTAGGCTGAGCCATCCTTTCTGCTCAGAAAGGACTCCTGACCTGAATTTCTTCTCCAGGACAATGTGGCCTGGCTCTCAGACCACAGCTGTGTTTATCTCTTGGCAGATCGGCGGGGGTAGGAACACAGACCACCATGTCCTATACGTGGCTGCGGAAGTCATCAAGGAATCGAGAGAGTTGCGGCTGCAGCCCTTCAATGAGTACCGCAAGAGGTTTGGCATGAAGCCCTACACCTCTTTCCAGGAGCTCACAGGTGAGCAGCTGTTTCCCGGCCACGGCTCCTGCCCTCGAGGGACTTGAGCTGAAGTGAAGGAGACATTGAGGAAACAGAACGGGGTGATCCGTATGGCCAGCACTGTGACTGTGGGATTTGAGGGGTGTGGGAGCACAGTGCCAGGGGTGGCGAGGGATGGCAGATGACTCTGCTTGGGGAGGGAAGGTGGCTTCTCAGCTGGGTTTGAAGGATAAAAAGGGATTTTCCATGACTTCCCTGGCGGTCCAGTGGTTAAGACTCTGCACTTCCACTGCAGGAGGCACAGACATGGCACAGCCAAAAAAGAAAAAAAAAAGGGATTTTCCAGGTGAAGGATAGAGGGAAGAACATTCTAGGTGGAGGAACAGAAAGTACAAAGACACAGGGGTTAAAAAGAATGAGCCTAAAAAAAAAAGAAAAAAAAAAAGTGAGCCTATTCAGGAGGACAGTCCTAGGTGTGGCTGGGCGGAGGTTAGTGATAGGAGGCTGGCTCAGATTGTGTGGAATCTTGGATTCTACGCTAAGATTTTGGGTTTTATTCTGTCTAGTGGTTCCTAAGTCCCATTTATGGGCCAGCTACCTGAGAATCACTTAGAAAACTAATTAAAAATACCAAATCTGAGATGGCCCTTCCAGAGATTCTGATTCAGTAGACCTAGGTGGTACCCAAGAATCTGTATGTGTGTATATATATATATATCTCCATACATATATGTATGTGTATGTATATACATATGTATGTATATGTAAGTGTATATATATATATAAAAAACACAAATTGTATAATATATATAATAAATATATGTAACATATATGTCTATATGTCATATATATATATATTTGTTGTTCAAGATCCCCAGTTGTTGGGCAGCCAAGTTTGGGGACCCCTGTCCCAGACAATGGGGGTGCCACTGAAAGGTTTTGACCAGGGTGTGACATGACACCTGACTGTGTACTGGTACCCTGTGGAGGGTGGACTTGAGGAGACAGGTAGGGACACTCCATGTCTGTCTCCCATGACAGTCCAGAGAGACAGAAAAAACATTGTCGCTAAGTCTCTATGTGATCTTGGACAAATGACATTGCATCTCTGAGCTCCGGTAGAGCGCAGGGTCTTGGACCAGGATAAGGCCCCTTGAAACCTGCCTGTGAAGGAAACAAGATAGGTAGCTTCTGCCTGTTGTAATGATCAGGTAATTAGGGCACAGAGAAGTGGGGTGAGTTGCCCAAGGTCACACGCTGTTTGGTGGCAGATCCAGGCCCTTGACTCCATCTGCAGTAGCAAATTCCTTCCCTAGATGCAGCCCTGGAGCAGGGTCGGTCAGCCGGGCCAGATTTTAGGGCATGTGCTCATCTGCTCAAGGTGCTCTTCTGAAGTCCATTCTCCTCCCCAGAAAAAGGTGGACCTAGAAGATTCCCTCCCCAGATGAACCGTAATGGATGGCATCATGATTCTGACTTTGGCTTCTCCCCCTTGTAGGAGAGAAGGAGATGGCAGCTGAGTTGGAGGAGCTGTATGGAGACATCGATGCCTTGGAGTTCTACCCAGGGCTGCTTCTTGAGAAGTGCCCTCCAAACTCCATCTTTGGGGAGAGTATGATAGAAATTGGGGCTCCTTTTTCCCTTAAGGGCCTCTTAGGGAATCCTATCTGTTCTCCGGAGTACTGGAAGTCGAGCACATTTGGTGGTGAGATGGGTTTCAACCTTGTCAAGACGGCCACGCTGAGGAAGCTGGTTTGCCTCAACACCAAGACTTGTCCCTACGTCTCCTTCCACGTGCCGGACCCCCGCCAGGAGGACGGGCCTGGAGTGGGGCGGCCATCCACAGAGCTCTGAGGGGCCAGGGCGGCAGCATTCTGGAGGGTAGAGCTTACTGTTCATCATTCCAGAATGCCGAGGCCAGGGTTGATAATCTTCAATGTTGGGTTTCTGATTTGGTGTTGAGCGCATAAGGGTGGACGTTTAGAACTCTGGGTCTCTCACCACGATCTGGAACACTGTGGTCTTGTTTGTCGATCTAGAATGCTGAATTCCTGGTGAGCCATCTAGAAAGTGAGGAGTGGTTCTCCTTCGGAATGCCAGAACACTGGTTTCCCGGTTGATCACCTAGAATGTCAGATTTCTGGCTGATCCAGAATACAGGCATTCTAAAATATGGGACTCCTGATGGAATCATCTAGAAAGTTAAGGGGTTCTTATTTTGCATTCTAGAATTCTGGGTGGTCCTCCGGAGTGTTGACTTTCTGATTGGTTATTCAGAATGTGGTGTTCCTGGTTGCTGATCCAGAACAGTAGCTGGTGTGCTATAGATCTGTCCTGTCCTGAATGTCTGGAGCATTGATGATTCATTTTCCTGTTCAGTGAGACATCCACAGAGCAGGGGAATCTAATGTCTAATGAGAATGCATTGCCTGAATCTGTGCCTGCACAGAGGAGGCAAGGAGGTGGGGTGTTCTGCTTGGGACCCCAACTGAGACCCTGGTCTGAGGCTATAGAGAGAACAGGTGGCTTTTTCCAGGCCATTGACTGGAAGTCACCAGAGCTCTGTCTTTGTCCAGATCTTGACTCACGGCAGCTGTTTTTCATGAAGTTAATAAAGTTCTTTTTCCAAATTGCCTGCTATGCTTTTGATACCATCCCCAGAAGCAGAGGTAACATGAAAGTGACCTTTCTCCTAGCCACAGGCTAGATGTGCTGGAGGTTTGCAGCAGGAGACTTTCCACTGGGATCCCTGGGCCTGTCGTGGTCTAGATCTTTCACCGCTGATGTTTCATTCCCTCCTCCCCACCGCCGATCCTGTGGGTTAGGAATTGCTTTTTCCAGGCCGCTCTCCTAAAATGCACAACTCCCCAGCCCCAGGAAATGTAGTGTTCAGTTCCCACCATCTGATTAAAACAACTTCCTCCCTTACTGAGCATACAACAGAGATGAAAGGCATCTGGGGCGGAGAGCATTTACTCTGTGCCAATTTTACACATTTCATTCTCATTTATTTTCAACCCAACAGTGCGAAATAGGTGGTAAATCCACGTTTCAAAACCAAGGATACTGAGACTCGGGGCGATTAAGTGATGTGCTCCACACGTGCCAGAGCCAGGTTAGGACCCAGGTCTGGCTGAATCTAGAGCTGTGCGCTTTTCTCCATCCAGCATCCTCTTGCTTCCTGGTTTGACTCACTTCCAGGCCTAATCTTGCTTGTCCGGCTCAGGGTCAAAGGCAGAGGTGGGCTGTAGCCTCCGCCTTACTTGCAGGCTATTTGTTCAGTCACAAATATTTATATTCCTAGCTGCCTACTACATGCCGGTTACTGTCATATGCTTGGGGCTACAGCAGGGAGCGATCAAGACCGATATGGCTGCACGACAGATCGCTGTAGTTTATGTCATACACTGTACAGCATGGGGAATGTAGCCAATATTTTAGAGTAACTTCAAATATAGTATAATCTATAAAAGTAATGAATCACTCTGTTGTACACCTGAAACGAATATTGTAAATCAACTATACCTCAATAAAAAAAAATCTTCAATAGAGTTCAAACTCAAAAAAGACAGATGGGCTTCTGCCCACGTGGAGCTCACATTCCAGTAGGGGTAGAGCAGACAATAAAGAAGAAAACAATGAAAGGAGAGAAACTCAGGTAAGTATGATCTCCCTTCTAACTCATGCTGCTCTGTCCTCCCCTGCTTGACTGCAGAGCCCTGAGACACTTTGCCCAGCCACACAGATCCCAATAGCCAGCTACAAGAGAGGAGAGGACAGAGGGATAAGGTAAGAGATTGGGAAAGGTTCTTTATGCTCCCATAAGGAGTTCCTTAAGTGACTCTAGGCTTAGAGTTCCTTGTGAAGAACCATGGCACAGAAACAGCGGGGGAAATTGGGGTCCAGGCTGAGGGTCCCTGGCTGTGTCTACTGTCTTATGGTCCAGAAAGCCCTTGTTTCTCCTTAGTTGGCTGGGGACTACTTCCATCATTCCTTCCTGGCCCTGTTGAATTCAGAGAACGCAATCCCTTCTTGCTCCCCTAACTGTGCTGATGTGGAGGGATCCTTCCGGTGACAGAAGTGGGTATGGCGTGGCTGTGTCTTGTCCTTGCTGGACCTGTCTCTATTTCCTCTCTTCTGCTAATATGCCGACTTTGCTGAGAATCCTTCCCTCTCTTGTTAATTTTAGTCTTGGTGGTTCCATCAGCGGCCCTTTCCTGGCCAAGAGGTGGGCCGTGAATCAATCCTGGCCAATTAAACACCCTCTTCTTCTTTTTTTTTTTTTTTGACAACTTTATTGGGGTATAATTGCTTTACAATGGTGTGTTAGTTTCTGCTGTCTAACAAAGTGAATCAGTTATACATATACATATATCCCCATATCTCTTCCCTCTTGCGTCTCCCTCCCTCCCACCCTCCCTATCCCACCCCTCTAGGTGGTCACCAAGCACCGAGCTGATCCCTGTACTATGCGAATGCTTCCCACTAGCTATCTGTTTTATGTTTGGTAGCGTATATATGTCCATGCCACTCTCTCACTTTGTCCCAGCTTACCCTTCCCCCTCCCTGTGTCCTCAAGTCCATTCTCTAGTGGTCTGCATCTTTATTCACGTCTTGCCCCTAGGTTCTTCATGACCATTTTTTTTTTTTAGATTCCATATATATGTGTTAGCATACGGTATTTGTTTTTCTCTTTCTGACTTACTTCACTCTGTATGACAGACTCTAGGTTTCTTTTTATGGCTGAGTAATATTCCATTGTATATATATGCCACATTTTCTTTATCCATTCATTGGTTGATGGACACTTAGGTTGCTTCCATGTCCTGGCTATTGTAAGCAGAGCTGCAATGAACATTGTGGTACATGACTCTTTTTGAATTATGGTTTTCTCAGGGTATACGCCCAGTAGTGGGATTGCTGGGTCGTATGGTAGTTTTATTTTTAGTTCTTTAAGGAACCTCCATACTGTTCTCCATAGTGGCTGTATCAATTTACATTCCCACCAACAGTGCA